AACACCTTTTCTTTTCCCCCTTAAAGAAGAGAGAAGATGCAATGTAAAGATCACAAGGATTAGATCTGCTTTAAGGAGCCCAAAGAAATCTAACTATGAAAATGGAATGAGAATTGCTCATTAGTACTCTGCATTTGAAGTTCAAATCACAGCTGATAAGGAACTGACTTCAACCTTAGTACAGGTCCATAGAAAGCTCCATTCTCTCTAGGTCTGACTGATAAAGATCCTTTGGAAATGTATGTCTTCAGAAAATTAGAATTTGGATTCAAGAAATTTTCCAAATAACAGGTGCCAAACCTCCCTTAAGATGAAGACTACATGCAGCATGTACAGAAATACAAAAAAAAAAAAGTCAAATAAAGAAGCTTGATTTTTTTTCTTTTCATTATTTTCTCTGATGTTTTCATAGGGGCAGACCGAGAGTCACTGCCTACTATCGTATCATGACTGAAGTAAGGAATCTGACACTAATGTTTCTATCGTGATTTTTTTCTCACCAAACACATTTTTTTCATTTTAGGGCATGCTGCAGGTAAAAAATAAGGAAAGGAGTGAGTCTGTAGATTTGACTAAGTGGGAGGGGACAACATACAATAGCTAAATAAGAGCTAATCACAAAAGTTATGCTGTTGAAAATATTTTGTCCTAGGAAGCTGCCAAATAACTTAATAACTGACAGCGCTTGACAACCCTTTCACAGGGCTAGGGCAGCTACAATCTATTTTAGTATTATGGTTGGCAACTATTTTGTTTGGATTGATAACTAAGGTTTGGCCAGAATAAATTTTATAATTTACTTCAGTGTACAAGTACAAGCCCCTATGTGTAGGCTGAAAGCATAACCATATCTGCAACATGTTAAATGACAGAAGCTTATAGGAAGTATCTTTACATACCTTGTGACAGCTGAGGGCTGTTACACATTAAAGGGGGTAAGAATTAGAACTTAATCCTGTTCTCAAGTAAATTTTCATCTATGCCTGAACATGTATGTGATTTATAGTGTGTGTGTGTGTGTGTGTGTGTGTGTGTGTGTGTGTGTGTGAACCCACGTGCATTTCACACTGTGCTCTGTCATGTTATTAACAATACAGGCTAATAACCTGAACTGCCATGTCCCTATCTCTGACCTGCAAGGATATTCAATATTTATTAACATTGGCCATTCCTACCACCATGTAAAAACTGTTTTTAAGAATCAAGCACAAATATTGCCTCTCATTTATTTAGGTTTACGCATTAAAGGAAAAGCATCCATACCCAAGATAGAGAGTCTGCATGAGCATCAGCTAAGGAGAAAATAATTATTCTGTATAGTCCCTGGGCAAAGTATGCAGCTGCCAAACATTTGCTTTAGCTGTTACTACAGCCCAAGACACCATAGAACTGGGGAAAGGGGTGCCTGTCTGTCACCTGTCATTAAATGTACACCAATGAATTTGCTAGCTGATCAAATCTAGCCTACTTGCTAAACAACATCTGTGGAGAGGATGCTCAAGCCTACTCTGTCAGGTACTTAACCTGCATTACCATAATATTTGAGCATCTCAAATCTCACAATATCACACTCGTGAAGTAGGACAGTAACATTACCCCTGTTTTACATATGGAAAACAAAATACGTAGAGTCTAAGCAATATGTACAAGCTGCATGAGGAGTGTGGCAGACAGGGGATTTTCAGGTCTCCCAAATCCTACCTTAGTTCTCTAACTAGTGGTCCATCCTTCCTGTCCTTGATGACCATAAGACCTTTTTCTACTCTTCTGCAAGCAGCTCCACACACAACCAAATAGCAGCTGTTCCACACTACTTGGGAACATGGATAGCAGCAGGCAGCATTGTCAGCTACACTCACTGCATCTTTCACTAGAGCTGTGGGGTGATATTCTATGGCCCAAACAAGAATTAATGGGAGGAAAACCCAAACTCTAAAGCCTTACTGTAATGTCCGTGTAGAGAGATTTTCCATACATCCGCTTGTATTCTGCACGTATATCCAGCAGGTCAACCTCGCTGCGTGAAACCATGATTCGAATTAGAGTCCTGTCTTTTGTTCCTGCTCCCTGTAGAGAAACCAGTATATTGTGTTAATAAAAAATGCTAACTCCCAACAATTAACTAGACAGAAAAGTCTTTCCCCAAGTTGCACCAGCACAACTCGTTAAAGTCTATGGGACTGAACCAATGTAATACACAACAAAATTTGCTTTAAATCGGGCTTAGAGACTTAAGGGTATATATTTACATAGTGAAATGAAGCACCATGTAAAGAGACCCATGTTAGCTGACAGGGTATGTCCAAAAGCATTGATATATTACACAACACTGAAGTGCCAGCAAAGATACCATATTAGCCCAGAAGCAATATAGCTACATACACAGGGTGCTCCACCCAAATTAAATTTGTCTTGTTCATCTTGGTCTTTTGTATAAACAATAAATACAATTGCAGTTTTGGGCAGATCCTTATTTTAGACACATTCTGGCTCTGAGAATGTTAAACAGAAGTGCAACATAGCATGAAAAAGGGCAAGGCACCTGCAGTTTTGCAGGCAACCATTCTTAGTTGAACTTCAACATCATGCAAGCGCTTTGGTAAAATACAATTTTGCTAGACAGGCAGTAGGTTAGCAGACACTCTCCTGCTCCCAAGTGAACTGTGGTAAAACACACTCCAGGACACAACCAAAGTAATTACAGTATGTGGTTACATGCATTGCCATATTTATGACTATAAGGGGGAAAAAAAAACAAACAAATAAAACAAAAACATAAGCAAATGCATGCAGCAAAAGAACAAAAACAAAAAATCCCCCATACAACTTCAGTAACACTTTTTGTAAAGAACCACCAGAAATATATTGCTTTACAGTAAGTCTATCCTAGTGTTTTCAGGCCCATCTGAGCCTGGCAACACCATTAATAGCCTGTACTGGGTTGAATTTAATCTTTAATGCTGGGTAAATTAGTTTTATTCTATCCTTTCATAGTAACTGAACAAATCCAATTATATTACCATGGTTATATAATGACAACGATAATGATTAGGGCTGTGCGAAACAACTATGTCTTATTTCAGCTTTGGATTTGGCTGTTTCGGAGGACAGCGATTCATTCAGTATTTCAGATCACTGTTCTGTTTCGATTCGGCTGAATCCATTTCAGAGTTTAGACACTGTTTTGGTGATTTGGTCATAGGCTATAATGGGGAAATCACTAAAATGCCTATAATTTTGTCATTTCTTGCCTGGTTCGGATGAAAATTGCAGGGATGGTAGTCACTTCTGAGGGCACGAAGCCTGTCATGTTTCAAGGAGATAAGTGCAGGGGTTTCTGTGACACTGCACCGCAAATTGTTCAAAGCAAAACTCGTGACATGCGACTGTGTGTGTTAAAGGTGCAGGGGGATTAAACCAGCAGGGATGGTAGCCTGTAACAGGGGGCCTTCCCAGTGCTCATTAGATCTCTGCCTGCCCACCTGTTTCTGGGCCAATCACCTGCCCCTCTTTTTCCTGCTACACCTTGGTGGAAAACTGATTCAAATGTTTCCCAGATGGCAGGCTGCCCATATAGGTGTGTAGGGGTGACATCCATTCCGCAGCTCTGTACCTCCCCTTACACTACAGCCCATGCCTCACAGATTGCATCCTTCACCCCCTCCAGCTGTGGTCCCCTCTCTGGGACCTTTGGCTCCTCCTTAGGCCCTGGCCCTGCCTTTAGGCTAGCTGGAATCCTGAGTCTCTTGCTCGGGGCATTCCTCGTGGTGGGCCCCTGGCCCTTCGACCCCCCTTTGGGTCTTGGCCCCAGCATGGACCAGACAAAGGTACCTCTGATATCTTTTACTAGACCAACTGAATAGATGGAGAAATATACCTTAGCAAGTTTTCGGGTTTAAAAACCCTTCATCAGGCTGAGAAAGCATGTAGTTGGTGTGTGTGTGTGTGTGTGTGTGTGTGTGTGTGTGTGTGTGTGTGTGTGTGTGTATGCGCGCGCGCGCATGCGTGCTCTTCCTGGATGAAATGAATAGTGAAGAAGCCACAGGCTGGGATGCAATGCAAGCAAGAAAGCCAGTCAGGGAAAATGGAAATGGAGGCACTAGGGAGTGAGGAATATGCTGGGGGGGGGGGGAAAGGGGGATGTAGCAGGTAAAAGTGGAGCGGTACCCAGGGAATTAGATGTCCGACAGGTTGTAGTTTGTCAGAATTCCAGTGTCTATACTGAGTCCATGAATTTCTGTACCTCGGAGGTTGATGAAGAGCAATTCATAGGCTCATCTGTGAAAAATGGGTTGTAAATTCACTTTGAGGATCAGGCCTGAGAGATTGGAGACAGGTAGTTGAGTGTTCTTGTCTTTGATAGATTTTTGGTGCACGCTCATTCTGGTGTGCACTTGATGCTTGTCAAGAATACCCAGCTATCTGTGACAGCACATTTTTCACAAGAAAGTCAC